TATACATGATGGACTCATTTTTGGTGAATTGAGAATTGATGATTCACTATTGTGCTATATGCTTAGAACTTATTTTGTACTATTGAATTTCAGGAAGTGGAAGCCAATGTTGAACACTCATCGACATCAGATCATAGAAGCCCTTTTATGATCCGTTTTCTTTCTCCATCGTGTCTGTTGTCTTTAGTATCAGACTTGCAGTTCTATCCCGTAAAATTAGATATTTAAAGCAAATGGATATTGCAGATTCATATAATTGATTTCGACTTGTGGATTGTTCAGGGGAAAAGAGTATTATTAGCCGTATCAATTAAACTTAGCAATTATGGAAATGTTGCAGATCTAATTATTGATATTTGGAAGTTTATTTTTTGGTAAAATATCTAACATATAGTCATACTTATTCTTAGAGCTATCAATATGGGCCCCATTCGGGCTAATCCATATAGATTTTGTAATTCGATGGGCCACGCTGGGCAAATCCATTTTTTATGTGGACTAGACAATGGTCGGTCCAGCCCATAAATGTGTCCGCTACGGGTTTTGTCTAGCCAGCCCTCTTTTCTTCAAACTATATTTTTTCTAGTTTTTAAATTAAATTATAATTTAAAAATATTATCATAATATCGACAAGACAATATTACATGGGTTAGAGTTACTATTTGTTAATCAAATACACAAATAAAATTATCTATATAGTATATTTGATTTCAAGTAAAAACATAAATAGTTAAATAGGAATATTAACCTTATTGTTTTACAATGATCATAATAAAACACAAAAACTATGATAATAGTCCATAGGTTATGACCTATGTAGTGATTCCCTAGAAATTTAGGCATTTTTTATTCTATGTAGTACATATTTTATAAACATAATTTGTATTGAAATATAATACTTCAAACTTTAAACAAATTTTGAGGGTAGACTCATGTTATTATTAATACTCCATTTTTATTTTTACTTTTAATTAATTTTTAATTGGTCCACGGGCCGACCCTATCCATATTTCTCAAGTCCTGCAAATAGACAGACTAATTCAGGCAAGCTAAAAAGTCTTTTTCTTAAATGAGCTTCAAAAATCATAGCTCAATCTTATCAAATCACGAGTTAGGCCAGACCGATCTAATGGGCCTAGCCCATATTGACAACTCTACTTATTCTAGACGTAGGAAGCCCCATATTTGATGATCAAATTAAATGACATATTTATGTATTATGCTACTTTGGATTGATGCATAAATAGTAAATTAATAAAATTGTCCTTTTATTATTTATGATTTTTTAAAGTAAAACAATAAATATACTCCTACTATTTCATACATTCAAATTAACTAGAGATAAGATATATAAATACATTAAAGCTATTTATGAAATTATCCATTACACATTTGAATATGTGGGGATCAAGGGTGTATCTTTAAATAGAAAAATACTAATACTATTTCTACATGATTAAAATTATTCTAAATATATACATAATATATATTCAATCTCTTTAAATTCTTTTTTATCTTATTTTCTTGAAGGAATATAAATATATGAGTCACACAGAGTCATTTACACCCAAATCCTACTTCACTGCTACTTCCTCACTTTAGAGAAAAACATTTGACCATGTTTTCATTTCGTACTTTCCGGGATCGGATTCATCAGACCGTTCTATTCAGATTCCTTCTCTCATGGTATCATTTCATTTTCACTACAAATCATCATTTTCTTTTAACTAAAAATCATGACTCGATACTCCCAAATGAAATGATAACAGACATTCTCTTAAGGTTGACCACAAAGTCTCTCTTGAAATGTATGTGTGTGTCAAAATCATGGCATCAACTCATATCTAGCCCCGATTTTGTGAACACCCATCTCAAATTAAGCAAACATCATATAGTTCTATTTCCAGGTATCAAGTTTTGCTCAACCCCTCCTTCATTTAACAAACAACAACTCACTCAACAGCTATTTTTACATGGATCCTCCCTGTTTACCACCTTTCTTTGTGGGTTCTGCCAATGGACTGATTTGTCTTTTCAATCGGAGAATGGATACATATATTTGAAACCCCACCATTAGGAAGTGCAAGAAATTACTCAAGTCATCGTGGGGTACCTCTTGCTATACCAAATATGGTTTTGGATACGATGACTCACGAGACTATTATAAAGCCCTATTTATTGATCATTGTGGTAATTTTGACAATGGTGAATTTTCCAACACGAGGGTTGTTGTCAATATTTACAGTTCGAGAATTGATTCTTGGAAAACACTCCATGACCAACTTCAAGGAGTCTTTCTATTAAATTATTTGGGTAAATTTATCAATGGGAAGATTTATTGCACTGCGTCTACGGGTATTCATGATTTCAATGTGCGCAACATCATTTCTTTTGAGTAGCAGACGAGACATGGGGAAGCTTGGAGCTTCGCATTTGTGGAGAAAAAGTTTTAATATCAAATTGGTAGTTGTGGAAAGTGACCTTTCTGTGCTCTGTACTTGTTATCCGAATACTATTTTCGATTTCTGGATTTTGAAAGATTGTAGAGTTAATGCATCATGGATGAAACGGTTCACCATCAAATTCCCTCAATATGTTGTGTTGTACGGGTTTGATTCACCCGTATTCACATTTTCTATATATTTGCACCAGTCAGATATGGGTGACATTTTATTCTTGATTCTCGAAAAAATCATGATATTTGATGGTTCAACTAGAAAGCTCAAACACACTACTATTGTTAAGGAATGCAATACTACATAAATCTATGCAAAAAACATTGTTAATCCCCTGACAATATCCTCTAAGAGTTGTGCTTAGTTTAAAATATATACGAATCCATACATCATATTTTCTTGTTAGCATTTCTAGATTCGCGCGTGCAATATTTGTATTCTAAAGTAATAAATCTGGAGCAATGTACATGTTTCAAAAGCTTTTGTTTGAATTATTAATTGCTGAAAAAAGTATAGAGATAAGTTTTCAGTAAATGTACTCAGACTTAATCTTACCTCATGGAGATAGAAAGACTATTTTTACCACTCACAATATCACATCTTAAGAGAATTCCTTTAGATGAAACTCAGTTCTTCTATGTACATCTTTATAATCACCCAAGTCACTAATATATACATACATACATATATACATACATACATACATATATATACATACATACATACATATATACATATATATATATACACATACATACATACATACATACATATATACATATATATATACACATACATACATACATACAAATATATATATATACATATATATACACACATACATACATACATACATATATATACATACATACATACATACATATATATACGTACATACATACATACATACATATATATATACATACATACATACATACATATATATATATATATACATACATACATACATATATATACATACATACATACATACATATATATATATATATATACTAGTCTTTGAAAACGTGCGTAGCACATTTATTTTGTATTATTTTTCATACAATTTGTACGTGCCTAATTTTACATCTTCAAATTAACGTTTTCAAAAAAAATTATTTTATAAAATTTGTACATGCCTAATTTTACGTATGATTCTACTAAGTATGTTTTTAGTCAAACTCAACAATATCATCTAATTTGAATACAATTTTAGTTATTACTCCCACTATTCCTTTTAGTTATCATTTGTGCTTTTTGAGAGTCAACTTGACTAAATTTTAAAGTTTTAATTTAGATTACACTAATTTGATATTTTGAAACAAGAATTTAGATATTTAAAATTATACAAAAAGTACTATAAATTGCAATTTTGTTATATCAATATGATGGAAAACTACATATGAAAATGTTAGTTAAAGTTTATATTGTTTGACTATTAAAAAGAAAATAGTAACAGCTACAAAAGAACGGAGGGGGTAGTTCACGAAGTAGGAAATGTTGAACTATGTAAAACTAATTAAGATAATATAACATCTAACATTATCGAAGTTGCTGACTTTGATACTTATAATATTAAAAAATGATTAAAACACCTAAATAGAACTAACTTGATTTTTACCAACCAAAAAAAAAGGTACAAGTATATAATAATGATGTACCACATTTGAGGAAACCATGTTATTTCCATGTATACATGTCCAGTAACTCCATTATCTAAATACAATTAAATAAATATTTTATAACATTTTAATTTAGAGTAATTTTTTAAATGACATTATTGTACTAACTTAAGTTTTTTTTTATATATATATATATATATATATATATATATATACTAGATCACATTTAAAATTATACTAAATATATATACTAGACACTAGATCACATTTAAAATTATTCTAAATATATATAATATACACTAGATCACATCAAAAATTGCTCAAAATATACATAATAGACACTAGATCACATTTAAAATTATTCTAAATATATATAATAGATACTAGCTAGATCACATTTAAAATTGTTCTAAATATATATGTAATAGATATTAAATCACATTTAATATTATTCTAAATATATAAAATAAATATTAGACCACATTAAAAATTATTCTAAATATATTTAACAAATATTAGATCACACTTAAATTGTTCTAAATATATATTACATGTATTAGGTCATTTAACCGTCTCTTCTTTTATTTGATATCCTGACACCTTTAATATATAAGTGAGAGCCGCTAAATGACATATTCATGTATTATGTCAATATGGATTGATGCATAAATAGCAAATTAATAAAATTGTCTTTTCTTATTTATGATCTTTTAAGGAAAAACAATTACTATACTCCCTCTATTTCATACCTTATACATAATTCTCTTTAAGGAAAACCAATTAATAAAATTGGATCATGTTGAATTTCTTTCTTATGTTATTTTCTTGAATGGATATAAATATATGAGAGAGATAGAAACATTTTTAAGAGAACACAATTTTAGACCCAAATCCTACTTCACTGCTCTACTACTTCCTCACAATGTTTTCGTTTCATGCTTTTCGGAATTGGATTCATCAGACTGTTCTATTCAAATTCCTTCTCTCGTGGTATCATTTCATTTTCACTACAAATCATGATTCGATACTCCCAAATGAAATCATAACAAACATTCTCTTAAGGCTGCCCACAAAGTCTCTCTTGATATGTATGTGTGTGTCAAAATCATGGCATCAACTCATATCTAGCCCCGATTTTGTGAACATCCACCTCAAATTAAACAAACAACATAAAGTTCTAATTCCAGGCTACTTTGCAAATATCAGGTTTTGTTCGCTCCCTCCTCTGTTTAACAAACAACTCACTCAAGAGCTATATCACATGGATCCTCCTTGTTCACCGCCTTTCTTTGTGGGTTCTGTCAATGGGTTGATTTGTCTTTTCAATCGCAGAGGGGATACATATATATGGAACCCCATCATTAGGAAGTCTAAGAAATTGCTTAAGTCGTCGTGGGGTACCTCTCGCTATACCAAATATGGTTTTGGATACGATGACAAATGTAACGATTATAAAGCCCTATTTATTGATCATTGTGGTAATTCATGCAATGATGAGTTGTCCAACTTGAGGGTTGTTGTCAATATTTATAGCTCGAGGACTGATTCTTGGACAACACTCCATGACCAGCTTCAGGGAATCTTTGTATTAAATCGTTTAGGTAAATTTATCAATGGGAAGATTTATTGGGCTACATCTACGGGTATTCATGATTTCAATGTGCGCAACATCATTTATTTTGATGTAGCAAGCGATACATGGGGAAGCTTGGAGCTTCCCATTTGTGGAGAAGAAGTTTTTAATATAAAATTGGGAGTTGTCGATAGTGAACTTTCTGTGCTCTATACTTGTAAGGCAGGTACGACTTCTGATGTATGGATTTTAAAAAATCGCAGAGTTAATGTATCATGGATGAAACGGTTCACCATAGAATATCCTCAATATGCTATATTGTATGGGTTTGATTCACCCATATTCACATTTTCTATATACCTCAACCTGTCAGATAACGATGACATTTTACTCTTGATTCCCGGAAAGATCATGATATTTGATGGTTCAACTAAAAAATTCAAGCACGCTACTATTGTTAAGGAATGCAATACTGCAGAAATCTATGGGGAAAGCATGGTTAATCCCCTAACATTGTAAGAGTTCTGAAATATATATGAACCCAAACATCATATTTTCTTGTTAGCATTTCGTGCAATATTTGTATTCAAAAACATTTGTTTAAATTATGAAGTTTTTATTGGAAATAGATTTGGATTTTGTGATATGTTAATGTGCTCTATTACATCTTTTACCAATTTCGTGTGAGTGTGTATTTAACATCCTTCCATCATTGAAAACTAAAAAGGAAGTGCACATGTATTCAAGACAAGCTATTGTTTCTATACCTTGATCTAAAGTAATTTATAGACGAGACAATTTTTTTCATTAATAAATAAAAGAACCTTCGAATTGACGAGATATCATTCCTCACAAAATGCTAAAATTAAAATCACTTTAAGTTTTAGTGGCGGTTTGTGTTGTCACTAAAACAAAGTTTTAATGGCGACTCTTATTTGACTTAGTGGCGGTTTTAGTTGCCACAAAAAACCAATGTATAGCGGCAACCCTTATTAGTTTTAGTGGCTGTGTTTAAAATGCTATTAAAACTGATCTTTAGCGACGACTATCTTTGATTTAGTTGCAGTTTTAGTTACCACTACTTACCTTTATGGCGACTATTATTTGTTTTAGTGGCGTTTTAAGTTGCAACAAAACATTTCTTTAGTTGTGACTTTTGTATGATTTAGTTGCGGTTTTTGTTGTCACTAATACTAATCTTTAGCGACAACTGTTATTGGTTTTAGTGGTGGTTTAATTTGCCACTAAAATTGACATTTAGCGGCGATTATTATTGTTTTTGTGGCAATTTAAGTTGCCATTAAAATTGTCCTTTAGCGGCAACTGTTTTATTGGTTTTAGTTGCCTCTAATACTTACCTTTAGCAGCGACTGTTATTTGTTTTAATGGTGGTTTTAGTTGCCACGAATACCTATATTTTGCGGCGATCGTTATTTGTTTTAGTGGCGGTTTTAGATAGCTACTTTTATCAGAAACGATTGAGACTATCAAAATGTTTCAAGTGATTCAACATGATTAGCTAATCTTCAAAATAGTTAATAATAAATATAATTGGGATTAGTTTTATTAAATTTTTATCCTAAAGATAAAATAAATAAAGAATACAAAAGTATAATACCCAATAACAAAGTTATATTTGAAAACTCAAAAAGATGGAGATATGAAAAATCAAAATTCACTTGCAATTACAAATTGATAATCATTTTTTTACAAATGGTGCATATGAATCAGGGGCCGACCCAAGGGTAAGCTAGGGGTTCACCCAAACTCCCTCGGTAAAAAATTATACTGTATATATAAGGTAAAATTTCTGTATTTATGTGAATATATATACTTTGAACCCCCTCAAATGACAAGAAAAATGAGATAGTCCAGTGGTAAGTTACTTTGAAACTATCCAGAGTTTCAATCCCCTAGCTAACATTTTACTTTTTTAGTTTCAACTTAATATATTTTTTAAGTTCCAGTTTCGTTTTTATTTTATTTTTTATAAAAAAACATGTTAAAAGTGTGGTTTTAAATCCAAAAGAATTCAAGGGTCACATTCCTTGGAAAAGACTGTTGGCTTATTTACACGTTTATACTTTTATTTTTCGAATCCCTGAATGAAAATCCTGGGTCTGCTACCGATATTAATCTACAGAAAGCAAGATGATCGCAAATTTTGATGAAAGAAGAGAATATATATAATGTTGTTGTGTGTTTAATAGACTCTTCATCAACCCAATTATTATAAATTAAAACTAAAAGTTATTTTTTGACTCTTCGTTATCCACATTTAGTACATGAATAACTTCCTCAAACATTTACTACACAAAACCAATAGGTGTATTTAGTCCATTTTCTTATAACATTTGTTGAAATAAAAGCTTATATTTGATTAGTAGGAATGCATAAATTAGAAGGGTATATTTACTCTTTTTTAATTAAAAATTATATAAGTAGAAAAACAATGATAATATCCCAAAAGAATTTAAATCATTGTGTCTAGATGCATGAATTTAAATAAAATTATAATTTAATATAAATTAATTAATATATTAATATTTAATTTAGTTTAGAAAAAAAATAAGATTAGAATAATAATCCAACTTTTAAGGTATATAATAGATACTAGCTAGATCACATTTAAAATTATTCTAAATATATACATAACATATATTAGATCGCACTTAAAATTATTCTAAATATATATATAACATATATCAAATCACATAAAAATTTATTCTAACTATATTTAATATTCCATCATCTTTTAATTAGGTTTACCAGTCTCTATATATAAGTCTAAGAGCCGTTGGAAAAACAAAAACACTACTCCTCCTTTCACCCCTCACTCTCTGCTCACCCACCATGTTTTCTTTTCTTGCTTTTCGGAATTGGATTTATCGAACTCTTCTATTCCAATTCCTTTTCTCATGGTATCGTTTCATTTTCACTACAAATCGTCATTTCATTTTTACTACAAATAATGACTCGATACTCCCGAATGAAATTATAACAGACATTTTCTTAAGGCTGCCCACAAAATCTCTCTTGAAATGTAAGTGTGTGTCAAAATCATGGCATCAACTCATATCTAGCCCCGATTTTGTGAACATCCATCTCAAATTAAACAAACATCATACCGTTCTATTTCCAGGCTACATAGAAAATATCAGGTTTTGTTCACTTCGTCCTCTGTTTAACAAACAACATCTCACTCAAGAGCTATTATATCACATGGTTCCTCCGTGTTCACCACCTTTCTTTGTGGGTTCTGTCAATGGGTTGATTTGTCTTTTCAATCGCAGAGGGGATACATATATATGGAACCCCATCATTAGGAAGTCTAAGAAATTGCTTAAGTCATCGTGGGGTACCTCTCGCTATACCAAATATGGTTTTGCATACGATGAGTCTCGTAACGAGTATAAAGTCCTATTTATTGATCATTGTGGTGATTCTAACTATGGTGTGTTGTCCAACCTGAGGGTTGTTGTCAATATTTACAGTTCGAGAACTGATTCTTGGACAACACTCCATGACCCGCCTAAGGAAATCCTTCTATTAAATTATAGAGGTAAATTTATCAATGGGAAGATTTATTGGGCTGCATCTACGGGGATTCATGATAACTATGTGCGCAACATCATTTATTTTGATGTAGCAAGCGATACATGGGGAAGCTTGGAGCTTCCCGTTTGTGGAGAAGAAGTTTTTAATATCAAATTGGGAGTTGTCGATAGTGAACTTTCTGTGCTCTATACTTGTAAGGCAGGTACGACTTCTGATGTATGGATTTTAAAGGATCGCAGTGTTAATGTATCATGGATGAAACAGTTCACCATCGAATATCCTCTAAATGCTGTATTGTTTGGGTTTGATTCACCCGTTTACACATTTTCTATATACCTCAACCTGTCAGATAACGATGACATTTTACTCTTGATGCCCGGAAAGATCATGATATTTGATGGTTCAACTAAAAAATTGAAGCACACTACTATTGTTAAGGAATGCAATACTGCAGAAATCTATACTGCAGAAATCTATGGGGAAAGCATGGTTAATCCCCTATCATTGTAAAAGTTCTGCTTCGTTTAAAATATATATGAATCCAAACATCATATTTTCTTGATGTTTATTATGATACATTACTGATCTTTCTTGCTTGCTAAGTTGAACAATGATCTGTTTCACCTTCTCTGTTGTATTCAGTACCAGAATTGTGATACTATCTTGTTACTAGATTTACAATCGTGTTAAAAACTTGGTTTTGTATAAATCTTTGGTTGTATAATTAGATATTTGAATGTTTCTAGAATGTGAAGATAACTCAATATTGTTGAGTAACGGGTCCAAATGAAGCAAGATGGATATAGCAATGAACCCAAGGTCTGATGTTTCTATATAGATTAGTGCTGCTTAGATACAATATATGAATGTGAAGATGAGAAAAGGTTTGCGTGTGTCTTCTTCCTTTGCTTTTCCAATAACCGCAGACACCCTCTCTCACATCCAAAACCAACGACTAGTTCTCGTCAAACCACTGGTAACACCTATGTTTCACCGGACCCCTAAAACCAAAAATCTGAACCCCCCTCCTACTGATACCATTAACAACTATATTCACATAGAGGACTACAATCAGAATGTGCAAAAAAAAAAACAATGTCCCTGGTGGCAAATCAAACACCGTAGCTTACCATAGTCGGGAGACAACTCTGGCAGCTAAGACAGCTTCTACTACTACTAATATTCAACATGGAAGTTGGCTGTCTTCTTTAGTACCGAAGATTACTTTCTTTAATCTTGCCAGTAAGGCTTACCTTAGTCGGGAAATTCATAAAGGGTAAACCAACTACGAAGCTATTTATTAGCCAATTTCATCTACAGAGATTTGTTAAAATATCTTAATTGATTATAGAACAGTACACATTGATATAGTAAATGATTTGTTAGGAGTCGACAAATAAAGTTATGCACGGAGAGAATAGTAATTAAACTGTAAAATAGAGATGAAGATCCAATTGAACTAATAAAAAATATATAGTTGGAAGTAATTAACTACCACCCCTTTTTAACACCTATTTAGGGGCAGAATTCTATATAAAGCAAACTAAATGACCTAACAAAAAAAAGAGAGAAAAAAAGTTGCATTGTCCTATTCTCTTGCTTCAGGCATGATGATGACTGCAATATTTCCTCACTTTGCCTAGGAAAAATGGTACCCTTTTGGAATGCGTGTACTCTGTATAAAAGCAATCATCTGAAATTGTTGAAAGTACTTGGCAGCATTGAGTGGATAATGAAATTCTACGCTTGAAAACGAAAGTGATCAAGTTGAATGCACAACTGTTCACCTTGATGCAAGAAGTGGTTGGAGCTGGGCCCGGTCCCCAAGAGGGTGCCATGTGCGATGGAGAAACGACATCATCCACTGGGGATGGGGATGGGGATGGAGCCGCGTGAGTTGGTGAAGCCACATTATCAATCGGAGATGGAGATGCATGAGTTGGTAAAGCCGCATTATCAACAGGAGATGGAGATGGAGCAGCATTATCAACGACATGACTGCAATAGTTTCTCACTTTTCCAAGGAAAAACGGTACCCTCTTTGAGTGCGTGTACTCTGTGTAAAAGCAATCATCTGAAATTGTTGAAAGTACTTGGCAGCATTGAGTGGATAATGAAATTCTACGCTTGAAAACGGAAGTGATCAAATCTGATGCACAACCGTCCACCTTGATGCAATTTTGGTTTGGAGCCGTGTGCGGTGGCGAAACCACATCATCAAAGGGGGATGGAGCCATATGTGTTGGTGAAACCACATTATCAATCGGAGATGGAGATTGAGTTGGCGGTGATGGTAACTTTGGGTGAGTACGCCACCACCATCGAGGCCACAATCCAATTGAAGAAGTATCAAAGTTGTTTCCTGTTTCGGGTTCAGTTGCAGTACCAGCAGCAATGCAACCCAACAACAGAAACAGACATAACAATGTGGCACTTGTCGATGACGACGACGACATATTTTAGAAGAAAGAATGAGTAATTAATTAGCTATAGATGAAAGGAACAAATATATATAGCTAAAGAATTTCAAGAAAATCCTTAAAAGTTGTACGAATAATTAATACGAGTTGATATAAATAGGCAAAGAATTTCAGGCCATACTTCCCAATCCTTTTATACTTCAAATATCAAATTCTATCCAAATTAGGATTCCTATATATGTTGTCACGTCCACTTTTAATAAATTTATAATTTAAATTAGGTTTTCTACTAATACTAAATTTGTAATTACAATCAAACTACAACTCCTATCAACACAAACGCCAAAAACATCATACACTTAGGGCACAATACAGAGATCCTTCTGCTATGGCAACTGATTCCGTACTCTCTCTTCTTCTTCATGATGAACTCATAACAGAGATTCTCTTAAAGCTTCCTGTCAAATCTCTGTCGAAATTCATGTGCGTTTCTAAATCATGGCTTCAACTAATCTCTAGCCCTGATTTCGTGAAAAACCATATCAAGTTAACTGCTAATGACAAACGATACATCCATCACAGGCTTATATTTCGAAAAACCAATGATGATTTCAAGTTTTGTCCTCTCCTTCCCTTATTTACCAAACAACAACTCATTGAGGAGCTATTCCACATCAAAAGATCCTCTTTATCAACTCACATTGTCGGCTCCGTCAATGGGTTGATTTGTGTTGTCCATGGCAAAAAAGAGGCATATATATGGAACCCCACTATTACCAAATCAAAGGAATTACCCAAGTTTACATGTAATTTGTGCTCTGGTTATATCAGATATGGTTTCGGATATGATGAGTCACGTGATGATTATAAAGTCGTATTTATCAATTATCCTTATAATCATTCTAGTAGTTCCGATATGACGACTGTGGTCAACATATGTAGTTTAAGGACTAATTCTTGGACAACACTCCATGATCAGCTTCAGGGCATCTTTCTATTAAATCAATATGGTAGATTTGTCAATGGGAAGCTTTATTGGACTTCATCGACTCGTAATAATCACTACAAGGTGTGCAACATCACTTCCTTTGATTTAGCAGACGGGACGTGGGGAAGCTTGGAGCTTCCCAGTTGTGGAAAAGACGATTTTGATATCAATTTGGGAGTTGTGGGAAGTGATCTTTCTCTGCTTTATACTTGTCGACGAGGTGCTGCTACCTCTGATGTATGGATTATGAAGCATTCTCGAGTTAATGTATCTTGGACAAAATTGTTCACCATCAAATATCATCAAAATATTAAGACACATAGGTGTTTTGCACCTGTTTTCACATTCTCTATACATTTTCGCCACGGTGAAATTTTGCTTCTTCTTCACTCAGCAATCATAATATATGATGGTTCAACAAGACAACTAAAGCACACTTCTGATGTTACGCAATGTGAAGAAATCTATGTAGAAAGCCTCGTTAATCCCCTAACAATATCTGACCAGGGTCGTCGTAACCAGGAATCTCCACAATCATCCTGATAATTTGCAAGGATTCTGCTTAATGAAGCTTGTTATAATCTTTTATTTGCTGCCAAAGATAGGACAAGACATTGAACATATATTTTTCCTCATATCGGAACTTAATTACCGTGTCATAAGGGTAGGACCGGTGATTAGAAGTAGACGGAATAGAAAAAAACATTTGAATTGTTGAGTAATAGATGCAATAATCAGTATTCTGAAGTTTCAACATAGTGCTCGTTAGATCTCAATTAAGGAGTTTAGCTAATGAGAACTGTTTGATTAAAACAATTTTTTACATCGAGAAATGATGATTCTTTCACATTTATGTTGTTGCTTTTGTTTAAACTGTATGGCTATTTTGTTACTCTATAAACAGAGTCATTGTGAAAATTTTGTCAGGCACAACCTTAACTATTTGTTTTGAACTATTGAATTTCAGGAAGTGGAAGCTAATGTTGAACACTAATCAATAGTTGCTGCTGAGTTCATGGATCGAAATGATGAAGCCTTGTGATTATCTGTTTTCTTTCGTATTAGACTTGTAGTTCTATCTCGTTATCAGAATTACAATCATTTGCTATAAACTAGAAACCTGATAACAATTATCTTAAAACTTGGTTTGGTATAAACCTTTTCTTTTCTTTGTATAATTAGATATTTGAATGTCTCTAGAATGTGAAGAGAACCCGATATTGTCGAGTGCTGAAATGAAACAGGTCCGAAAGTGTGCCAGTCTTGAAGGCACACAATGTATACTAACATGTGTACGTAATGATTTAGCTGAGTCATTACATATGAAAATTGTAGGTCAATTAGTTTTCAAATTCCACAAATTTTGTATCATTTAATGTTTAAAGTAATTTATTATGACCATTTTACCAGAGATTAGTGTAGTTGTAAATAAGAGAAACTTTAAACATTGATAATTTTGGCTTTAGATGTTATTTTCGGGTATAGAAAAACTTTATTATATTTCACGGTCAATACCTCATTTGAACTTATTACAACCTATATTTTACCCATTTGAACTAACACACATAATTTATTAAATCATCACAATTTTTTGCTTCTTCTTCACTCATCCATCATGATATATGATGGTTCAACAAGACAACTAAAGCACACTACTGATGTCAATCTATGTAGACAGCCTTGTTAATCCCCTAACGATATCTGATTAGGGACGTCGTAACCAGGAAACTCCACAATCATCACATAGCTGATAATTATTAAGGATTCTGCTTCGTTTAGCTTGTAATGCTCTTTTTGCACCTTTTTTTTGGTCAAATATAGGACAAGACATTGAATATAAAGTCTTTTGATGATCTCTTTTCTCCATACCTTGTTACGAGTCGAATAAGGATGAAATTTTACTTTTACTTCCCCGTGTTATCATGACATATAACGGTTCAACCAGACAAGTAGAGGTTGCTGATCAATTTGAGGAATGTGCTGCTGCAGAATCTATGTAGAAAGCCTTGTCGATCTCCTATTGATATCATGAAACCTCACAATCATTTAAGCCAATAAGAGCCGATAAGTTATTGTTGATTGACATGTCTGCCATATCACATATAAGGTAAAGATTGTGTTCCATAGTGAAACGAAATTCACCATCGATCATATTCTTTACATCCATTTTTTTCCTACCTTGTTACCAGTAAAATAAGAATGAGATTTTACTTTTACGGTTCAACCAGACCAGTAGAGGTTGTTGATCAATTCGATGACACATATAGTTTGTACTATCGATGAAACCTGTTTGCAGTTTCAAACCCCATCGATGTCTCCTTTTTCCTACACAAACTCCAGAGCAGCTCGCAAGTACATTGAAAACCCCTGCCACTTTGGATAACTAATGTTTCGAGATTAAGATTGGTATAACCAAAGCTAAACGGATATCAAGGATTCATGTAACTAGTCTCGACTAATTTGTATTTGTTAGAGAAATCTTGTGCACTCAACCATATATAAATTTTTAAGAGATGAACAAAGATTTTCTTCTCCTGCTTTTACAATAAATTAAGCAACAGCCATAACCCCAAAAAACTCGACAACTCAACAAATACCACTCTCTCTCACATCCAACGACTAGTTATCAAACCCCCGGATCTTTTGTAGCTGCCATTTTTCTATTTACTTCAACACTACGAAACTGTTCACCCATAAAGGTTCTGTTTTCCCTTCCCATGACTCGTCATCACATAAATCAGCCTCCCAAGTCACTAAAGTCATTGTCAATAGATGAATCGTAGTAATCTGGCGTGCTTCCAACCCATAAATACTCTGTTCTTATTCATTATCTTCAATGGTTGCTCGACTTGGTGTATGCCCGTTGCCCATTTTAAAATAAGAGTCTAGGTGTTCAAAGTAAATACGATTCGCATTGTCTTTTGGGATGTTTCTACTAACTTAATAGGCTTCGATATACGTAGAAATCAATCTCCATCTTTTAACATACTTTCAAGATCGATTCAATGTGTCCCTATTAATGTAATCAATATGATATATCTAGGAATTCGATTCTTCAAATTACAATTGAGCTGACAAAGTCTCTGTGGCAGGTTGATAGTTAGTGTAAAAATATCATAGTAAGTCTTCTTATTGATTAATTTGTTGGGATGGGATAGTTGCTGAAGATTCATATAACCGTACTCAGCTTAATTAGGACCAAGGCATAGTTAATTGATATGTCTACCATATCACGAATAAGTAATAGGTTGTGTTTCCTAGTTAACATTATGAATAGTCTAGGAGTGATAGTAAAAGAGTGTGTCAAATCAAACATGGACAAATAAATATGCATAGACAGAGAGTAATTAAACAGTAAAATAAAGAGGAAGATCCAATTGAACTAATTAAAGAATTTAATTACAAGTATCTAACTAACACCTAAAAACCTATTAAAGGGAAATCCTATATAAATAAGCTAAATGACCAAAAAAAAATAAGAAAGAAAATATCTGCTTCAGGCATGATGATGACTGCAATAGTTCTTCACTTTGCCTAGGAAAAATGGTACCCTCTTTGAGTGTATGTACTCTCTGTAAAAACAATCATCTGAAATTGTAGAAAGTACTTGACAGCATTGTGTGGATAATGAAATTCTACACTTGAAAACGGAAGTGATCAAATCTGATGCACAACCGTCCACCTTGATGCAAGAAGTGGTTGGAGCCGGAGCCGGGCCCCAAGAGGGAGGCATACGCGATGGAGAAACGACATCATCAACCGGGGATGGGGATGGAACTGCATGAGTTGGTGAAGCCACATTATCAACCGGAGATGGAGATGGAACTGCATTATCAACTGGATATAGTTTTTCGTCTAATCTGTGATATCAAATGTTTCTAGATATAGGATTGATATAACCAAAGCTAAATGGATATTGGTGATTCATATATAACTAGTCTCGACTAATTTGTATTTGTTTGAGAGAACTTGTGTATCTAAAACCAGATTGACGTGTAATTCTATCTTGATAATAATCGCATCGAGAACTTTTAATGAGGTGAACATCACATGAATACGCTAAGAGAATTCACCATCTAATATTATTTTTATAATTCAAACACTTTATTTTGTACTACACACAAAAACATCACATTCATGCAAAGAATGCCAGAGACTAGTAATTAATTGATAGGAATTATGGTCCTACACCCTTTAACATATTGGTCAGAGCTTCTTTATTTATTTAATTTTTTTTTTCAGAAAGCATATTACTTCACCCAATTGAACCCATTGAATAAAGACTAAATCCACCTCTGTGTATCATCGTTGATGCACCATATTTTTTTACGAAGATTTATCAAAAATAATTTCTTTTATCTCTTCGAGATAAGATATACTATAAGGGAGTACAGAGTTTAAATGGTACAAAATATTAATAAAAATTTTAAAACAGTATATAAAATTTTATATTAATCAAAACGGCAAAATCGCTGCATCAACAGTGATTTACTTTCCCGGAAAAAACAAAATCGCTGCAGAGGCAGCGATTTTGCAAAATGTGAATTTTTTTTTAAAAAAAATGAAACCGCTACCCAGGCAGCGATTTTTAAAAAAAAAATTTTTTTTTTTTTAAATGTGGAAGTCGCTGCCCAGGCAGCGACTTTTATAAAAAAAAAAAAAATTGAAATGTGCAAGTCGCTGCCCAGGCAGCGACTTGTATAATTTTTTTTTAAAAAAATTTAATTTTTTTTCTTAAAATAAATGTGGAAACAATGTGGAAATTTTTTTTAAAAAAATTCTTTTTAAAGCAGCAATTTTATAAGATAAAAAAAAGTTATAATATTTTTTTTTATAAAATTGCTACTTTAAATTTTATTTTTTTAAAATAACTATTTGTGGAAAATCGCAGCGATTTTCATATTTTAAAAAAAAATTATAAATTCGCTGAGCGATTTACATATTTTTAAAAAAAATTATAAATCACTGCCTACGCAGTGATTTAAAAAAATTTAAAGTAGCATTTTATAAAAAAAATATTATAACTTTTTTTTATCTTATAAAATTGTTGCTTTAAAAAAATCTTTTTTTAAAAAAAATTTCCACAATGTTTCCACATTTTTTTAAAGAAAAAAATTTAAAAATTAAAAAAAAAATAAAAAATTATACAAGTCGCTGCCCAGCACATTTCAAAAAAAAAATTTATAGAAGTCGCTGCCCAGGCAGCGACTTCCACATTTTAAAAAAAAATCTTTTTTTAAAAATCGCTTTCCTTAAATAAAAAAATTATAAATTATAAATCGCTGCCTAGGCAGCGACTTTTTTTTAAAATAAATTAAAATCGCTGCCTAGGTAGCGATTTCATTTTTTTAAAAAAAAATTCACATTTTGCAAAATCGCTGCCTCGACAGCGATTTTGCTTTTTCAGGGGAAGTAAATCGCTGTTGATGCAGCGATTTTACCGTTTTGGTTAATATAAAATTTTATATACTGTTTTGGAATTTTTGTTAATATTTTGTACCCTTTAGGCTCCGTACTCTACTATAAGGTCTATCTGTATATATAATATTTTGTTTAGACTCCATTTATATATAGTTATATCAAGTTGTGATAGGCTATATAAATCCTTATTCACCATCAACGGTTATTATGCCTCGGCCTCAAATTCAATTCACTTCATCATCGTATTAAAAAATTAGAAATCAAAATACAACAAAAATTATATCTCAAAACCAAGTTATATGAACTATATGAGTTATCGCTAATTATAGTTTTCATCTAAACTCAACTCGTCTCATCAATAACAATTATTATGCTTTAGTCCCAAATAAATTGGAATCAACATTTCATATCGACTCATTGTACCAAAAATAAAATCAAAAACACATTGATAAGAATCATTGGCTGAATGTAATATTCAAAAACCCTTTCTTAAAATTAAAGTAGTCAACACTTGAAAGGAAAAGCAAAAAGAAAATTAATTAGTAGAAAAAACAAGATTCTTTACAAAATTCTCACCAAACCCTACAATTTTCCTAAGAAATTTCATTAAAAGAAAATAATGCATGCTCTCAATATTCCAAGAAAATTATTTTACCCTATTATTATTGATACAAATATACTAATAGCAATTACTACATAACTATTGTATTTAACTTCCCCATACAATCAAAAAAAAATAAAAATCTTATACATAAAATATCTCGCATTAACAGAATCGAACAAGAATACATACATTTTCAAGAATGATGTTGATGATCATCTCCTTCATTACGTTGATTAGAAGAACCACTAGCATGACCACCACTTTGTCTATACGAATTCATCGCCGCCGTCAACATCCCCCATTGCCCTTCCGCCGCCGTCCCACCGCCATCGCCACGTGTCCCCAAAATTGGTTGATGAAAATTCATAAAATTCAATATCCCTCCTCTAATATTTGAATTCTCAATACTATCATTATTATTACTAGAAGATCCCCACATAGAACAATTATTAAGGTCATGATGATGACTAGAATTATTATTATTATTATTATTATTATTTGTCATCATATATAATGTTGTTGCTGGAATTTGCCCAATTTGATGACTTGCTGGAATTGAACCATAAGTACTAGATTGTAACATATTACTCATATGGTAATTATTTTGTAATAAATCTTGATCTTCTGACCTCCGCTTAATCCGTCCAGTATTATTATCATTATCATTATCATTATCATCGTGATCATCACATAACTCCTCCTTTGCTTGTAACATGTTCAAATTCCCACTAGGGAAAAATGAATTATTTTCTGACGAAAATAAACCAACCCCGTTAAAATAATTTCGGTCATGATAAACATGACCGAAATTATTATGATTATGTGCTAGGTAGTTACTAGCACTATGATGTCTAGAACTTCTTAAAGAAATATTAAGTGATGAATAATTAGCTGGAATAGTACCAGTACCAGTAGCAGCAATAACAGCAGGTTCAGCTTGTTGTAATAGCCATTCAATGGTTTCACCATCAGATTTGTGACCTAATTCTCTAGTAAGTTGAAAAACCCTAGCTGCACATGTTGCTGGCATTCGAATTCTTCGACCGCGACCATCAACCTTAGTATGTCTATCCTTTGTTGTTGTTGGTTTTTTTGTTTGTTGTGGTTGTTGTTTCTTGTCTTGATGAGTTTTTGATTTTTGGTTATGATTAACACAAGGTGCATCACTACTTGAGGTAGTCATCATGTGTAAAGAAGTAGGATTATAAGGATGAAGTTGTAATGATGATGAACATATTGTTGTTGTATGATCTACTTCATCTCTTTTTTCTAACAATTGTAAGGGGAAATTTAGTCTTTGAATGGAGTTTCCAATATTATCATGATGATGATGGCCAGTTTCCATTATAATAAGAAAGATAAATTGGTGGTGTTTTTCTTTGTGTGGGATGTGTTTGAAGTGGGGGCTAAGAGGTAGATAGCTAGAAGTTGTAGTATTAGTAGTAGTAGTAGTACATCTAATATGATGTATCTATCTATTATCTATCACTATAATCTAATGGATGGCTCTCAAAAAAGGGTCTCTCTCTTTAGCGTAAAATCTGTATACACTTTATTATCTTCAGATCTCACGTGATGAAGTAGTAGTACATCTAATATGATGCATCTATCTATCTATCTCTATTATCTAATGGATGGCTCTTAAAAAGGGATTTCTCTCTTTAGTGTAAAATTTGTGTACACTTTATTATCTTCACATCTACGTGATGACGTAGTAGTACATCTAATATGATGTATATATGTTTCTCTCTCTTCAACGTAAAATTTATGTACATTCAGATCTCATTTATGAAATTACACTAATTAGATAAGTCGTTGTTATTTTGTATAGGCCGAAAGAAATGATTTATTTTTACGTTATATTTGTACAATTCAATTTGTTATGATTAATTTTTTACAAGATTTATTAATTAATTACTAATGTTTATTACTACTATCAAATTTTATTTGTAAGTAACTTTGATTGTACCAAGCTTTTTGCTATTTGAAGTTTCTTGTTGATATATTTTTGAGTCAAAAAGAGAGGAAAAAAAAGCTAAGGGGGGAAAGAGAGAAATGAGTGAGAGGTGCTTTTAAGCAACAAACATAATGAGTGGGAATGTATATGAGTGGGCTATGGGAATTGGAAAAGCTAATATTAGTCATGAAAGTAAATCTTTGTTTTTGTGAGGGTATGATTGTAACTTAACCCAAAATTATTTTCTAGAAAATTACGGAGAAATCATAGTAGTTCAATTGGTCAATTGTTTGAATTTTTAATGAAAATTTAATTTTCATAATATTGTAATCTGCTCTTCGTTTCTCCTCTCTCTGTTCTCAATTTAGAGGAGGGGAGTGTAATACAGTATGTAATTTGTTTGATGAAAAATCATAAAATTTGATATTAATTTTGAAGTTTTAATTTATAACTACTATTTTTTTTTTGAAATAGTTTATTTAATTTCATTTTAATCGTTTTAAAATATAAAATTTTAACCTATAAGTTTTTACTTTGTAAAAAATAGATCAATCATTTTAAATTTATCAACAAACAAAGATATTTATCTCATCCTGAATAGATTGATTACACCATATGGGAGGATTATTTCAATGAATAGTTAGTTACTATTGCTATTGAGTTATTAGATTAGTGGATTTTTAAAATGTTTATTTAATAATTTGTAATAGCGTATGATTGCCAGTATTTATTTGTAAGAAAAAACAAAAAAGATATTTAATTTATTAATGTGACATTTTAGAACGTATTGATACCTAATTTTTAAATTTTATTTATTTATTTGACAAGATTATATAAGAATTAAAGAAACTTTAATAATTATTATAAATCATAGACTATTTTGTTTTTCTATCGGATCAATCATAAGTCATAATCACTACCTATATTTCAAGAAGTATGCACTACGAATAAAAGTTAATTAAAAATAAAATTTCATATTTACAAAAAATTAATATAACTTAAAATTTTAAGTTACAAATCGTAATAAAATTTCAATTTATTTCATATCAAAGTACAAACAGACCTAATAATTATTGTGGTTGGAAGCAAGGTCCCTTCATTCAGACTCCACGTGTAGTGCTGCTTAATTATCATTCAATTCATAAAGACAAATTAAATGAGGGAGAAAAAATATTTTTTTATTTTTGAAAAAAGAAAAAAAGAGAAGATAATAAAGTCAAGTGGATCCATATGTATATAATCTCATTTGAGCAATCATTGTGTAATTCAACTTTTTTTCATATTTAATCAACCATTGTGTTGGAAATTCAGGAACTTCTTTTAATGTCGATTTGATTGAAAGCTAATTTATGTGGGGTTTTCTACTTTTTTTTATATAATTCTTCTTTTTAATATATATATATATATATATATATATATATATATATATATATATATATATATATATATAAAATGTTTGATATATCGTGTCTATATATATTACTTTTATTGATACAAGACATATTAATCATGATATATTGATTAATGTCATGATACATCGTGTCCGTTATATTACTGTACTATCATCGATACAAAATACATCTGTCACAATACATTGCATAAGAGTGATACATTTGAAACTAGGAGAAAGTAAAAGATTTTGCAATTCTTTCGAATGTCAGGAAATTTTAAAAATATCATAGAATAAGTTGTGTATTTGAGTAATATTTTTTATGTATAATCTATTCGATTAAAATTATTTGTGGTGTTTCTCTTTTATACGTGTCTTTAAAGAAATTATTAGAATAATTAGAAAGATGTTTTTGACAATTTATTCTCGCCATTTATGCATTAAGATATAATTTATATTTGTCAAATATTTACGTTATTGAGATATTTAATATGTATTCTTCAAGAATAATTATTATTAAAGATAAATTAAAAAAATAATTAAAATGATTACGATAGATAATTTGAGACGTCATTAAATTATACTTTATCCGCGTTGAAATATGACTTCATAACCATGGTTGAAGATTAGTATAACGTAACAATTGAACTACCAACAACCTAACATGATTTAATATATACTTTTGACTAACTATGGTCTAAAAAAGATAATTTGATAGGTATAGTTGCATGTAATTCTCAATACTTAATTAATTATGGCCCCCCATAACTTGATTATGACTACTTATTCCATTTAAGTACATTTTTATCATCATTGACATAATCCAATTAGTGTTTGATTTGTTTTAAACTCCATACAGATTATGCTTATTAGTCATATCTGCTCCCCAAGAATTAAGATATGTTACTATAAGTGTTTCTCAATTAATGCACATTTTTAAGGAATTAATTAACCTAATTACTTTGCCAAAGTACACAATCAAATGTACATTATTTCTTAACTTAATTGTGATCATGACCAAAAAAACTAGTTGCATATGTACTTATATCAATAGTACTCCCTCCGTTTTATTTTACTTGCTCTTCTATATAATATTACATAACTACATAAAAAATTATTTACTGGTAAATAATTATTGTTGTTAGTTATGTATTTTTAGTGATAATTAGCATTTTTTTTAATGTGTTCCTAAAGCTTTTAGCGACATTAAATCTAATAACATTTAACTAATGTAAGTAAAAAATTTAGCACTTTTTATTTATGTATCTACTTATTGCCGCTAAAATTTATTTTTATTGCAATGTATCTTTATTTTACTTATAATAATAATAATAATAATATATTTCGTAAAAGGAATTGAATTTTATTACATAAAGTGGTATATTAGTTAAACTTATAGTTATAAAACGAGTCGATTGAACATCTCAGTCATTGACGGAAATTTCGCTCGCATCTGATCCATTATTAAAATTTATTCAGTAAAATATAATTTGATATTAAAAGGTAAATAATTATATTAAATTATCAAGGAATATAAAACAGACGGAACAATATTTATTGATTCTAATCATATAGAAAGTACGGTTACCATAATCCACGACAAAGTCACGTTGTGTTTCGAATTTTGACATAATTGTTCGTTTACTTTTACCTATTTACAGTAGACTTTACATACTTATTGAAAAATTAATAAATAAATTATATATTTTATCAAGATATTTATATTATATATATATAGTCTTTTTTTTAATGTATTTAAAATAGATAAATAAAAGTAAAAATTTATTTTTAATATAGTGGATAAATAAAATAGATGATAAATAATTTCTAAGCGTAAATTAATCGTAAGAGAAAATGACCAAAAAAACATATCCTTAATAAAAATAAATAGTTGGCTAAAAAGAATTTTTGAAAGAAAGGGAACTCTCATTTGAATTTAATTTGGATATGTAGTTTTTGCAATTTGTGTTTGGTGCAATTTTTGACATTTTATGTCCATCTCCAATGTCTTATAATGACATTTTTTTATAGCAAACTTTATGTGATTCGATAGAATTGTAATTAAATATAATTCAATCTCAAGAAATGAATATCGTACAAAACTATATAATAAGGAATATATCACCCTTATAATATTAATTGTGGAATATGTAATTATTTCATTAATTATTAGAAAATTAAAATCGATGAACTTTGTTTTTTGTAATACTAAAGAATGAGGAGAAGTAAAAGAGGAGGCTAGAATTTAGGAGATAGAAATAATTACTACTCATATAATATATCATACAAAAAAATTGAATCACAATTTCTTTCATCTTTAATTAGATATTTCAGATTCAATTTTTTAAAGATTATAAAAAATTATTAATTAAAGCTTTGCCTTCAAACTCTATTATACAAACTTAAATTTAATTGAATTTTAATAAAATATCAGACACGAAAACTCGAAAAATAATATATAGGTGGTTGCAAGAAATATTCACGTGAGATGCCAGCTCCTATTGCAGTGACATAATGGAGATAGATGTCTTACCATCCATTCTTGGCTTAAATCATTCAAACAAATGTTGTTTTTAAAAAGAAAAAAATCGGAGTTTATATTCGAATTTTGATTAAATTTAAGTCACGTATTACAGAATTTATTCAAAGGTGACGGTCCCATCAAAATATTGCTACTTATTTTAATTTTGAATAACAATTCTACAATTTCTTTCTTTCTTTTTTTTGAAGCTTTCATTTTTTACTTCTTCGATAATTTAAACTGACAAACTCAAGATCAAAATAATAATTTATTTCTCACTTCTTTTTTTTTTCTTTTTATAAAAAATAGTTTCTTCTTACTCAGTTTTCTTATATATTTAGATGGAGAATTCATTTGGCATATTTTATTTTGGATGATAATAATATTAGAGTGAAAATCACTTTCTCCTTGGCTTGTACTTTAATATCAAGCAATACTTTTTTTAATATATAAATTAAGGTGATGTTTCACTACTAAAAACATGTCCAAAATTGACAAATAAAATTAATCATTTTTTTAACAAACCAAGTTGGTGAAAATTCAGAAAATAGCAAAATCGATGGACAATCGATTTATTATTCGTCTTTAAAAAATCAAAAATTTGATCAACTTAATTATTTTAAAAAGTCAACCAAATTATCAATAGACACAATTGCTCCTTTAAATTTTTTTAATTAAAAAAAAAAATCAAATTCGTTTTCTTTTT